TTTTAGAGAACACGCTTCCGTTTGTATTTTAATTTGGGGCTGCAAACAGGGCATTTCATTGGTGAATTGAACCTAAATTATCATAGAACCCTATGTCTAAGCCATGTATCCCACCAGCTAGCTTAATTTCAGGGTCTTGTGAAAGCTATCAACCAGTAAAGTATCAAATTGCAAAGTGCCATAGCAATAATAGGTTGTATCCAATGGCTTGTATCCAGCATTAGTCTAATTAAAGTCTTATTCATGTCAAAGGCTCTATTCAGTATAGGAATAACACTGGATGCAACCCAGTGAAACTTATAAAATTGTAAGAGACAAACCATAAGGTCAAGCAATCAATGCAGACTGATGAAAGGGACATCAAAATCCATCTGTCAGACCAGCAGTCTTCCTAAGCAGAAAGGATTTTGGCTCTCCTGAAGCTTCCCATCAGCTAACCAGAGGGGCTTCTCCAATGGTTTGGCAGTCCATAGGGAGGAGTCCATAGGGAGGATGATGCCGTGATAAAGCCCTACAACACAGAGAATACCTCCACAAAACTACTAAAATGCCCATGCTGGGTATCATATTCATTTGCCCTGGACCCAGACTCTTTGGACTACAATTCCTATCAGCCTTCGCCAGCATGGCCAATGGTTGAAACATACAAGAACTGTAAGCATCAGGTTCTGGAAAGCTAGTTTGAGCTTTGCAAGTTAGAGCAAACACTTTGACCTGGGCTTAGCAACCAATAGGACCAGTTAATCAGACGTTAGGGCTCTTCCAAGGAAGCAGAAAGAAGAGGTGCGTGGTGGATCTCAGGTGAAGCCAACAGTGTGTTTCTCTGCTTTGGAGGCCACGTGGATCAATCCACTGGAATCGCCTTCAGAAAACCAGGTTTGCTCAAGAGAGGGGGCACTGCCCTTTTTGAAGAACGAGGCCACCTCATCAGTGTTCCGGCCCTTCCTCAGCCTGGATGTCCCAAGTGGGGATCTCTTCTTTGCATACCGGCTGCCATCTACCCAGCTCATGCTGCCACATTTCTGCTCATGCCTAATTCTCCCATGTGAATACGCAGCAGGCTGGGCCATTCCTGAGGTCTGGAGTCTCCAGGAGCCTTCTAGGGCTGTCCCCCAGTGCCACAAATGTTACCACCAACTTTACTGGTAGAACCACAGCACAAAGCGCAGGACTTCATTTGCAGCTGCAGCACTGGGCTGGGCAAGAATGCAAAAATGTTTATGGCGTGCACAGGTAGACATCGTGTATGTTGGATGTGCTGCGAAGGCTGGTGGGTGCAATCCAACCTGTCAGAAATGAGCTCATCCTTCCTTCAAGGAGTTCAGAGTGGAATGCCACCTTCGCACAGCAACTTTGTGAAGTAGTTCAGTAAAATCTAGTAGTGTTTCTCCAAATCACCCACCAAGCAGAGAAGAGTCTCCAGTCTGATGTGTTTACTGTTACATACCCCTCACAGAGAGCCTTCGTAGCCAAAGCTGTTGCCAGAAATATCCAGTTTTGGCATAGCATCTCTCACTGAAATGACATCGATTTATTGATATTATTAATATTGGTGTTAATTACAATATTACTTTTGTTCTTGTGGGGAACCCAGAGTGATTTACATAATATTCCTGCTGATTTTTATCCTCATAAGAACCCTAGGAGTAAGATAGGCTGAGTCGGTGAGTGGCCCCAAGTCACATACTAGGCTCCATGTTCTATTTTTTGCGAGCCGCCCCGAGGCTTTGTTGCGATGGGGGCAGCATAGAAATGTTTTAAATAAATAAATAAATAGAACATGGGGCCGCCAAGACCTGCTCCAACACTCAAACCCCTACGCCATGCTGGCCACAATACTTTTTGATTCCACATGGAGTCACACAGAGTCTTCCAGCAGAATGGAGGAATGAACGTGAAAAACAGCCTGAAACATCACAGGAAGGTTTCTTTCTTTTTGCAGAATCTTTTTCAGAAGATATTTTGAAAGGATACACACACTCTTTCAATTTATACTATAAAATTGTTGCTTTTACATTAAGCTTAATACCTGCCTAGAGTTCACATGGTTAGAATGGTTATAATTATTGATAATAATTAAAATACTTAAAGTAAATGACAGGGGGGAAAAACCATGTGGGTCTCCTTTCTGTGTAAATGAAGCCTATGGTTTCCTGCATGTGCCCTACAGAAGAAAGACTACACAGCTCTGGAACAGAAGTTGCAGAGAACAGCTGTTCAGTGACAGAAGAAATGAGCATTGGACCACAAGCCTGTCATAAACATTGCACTCTTAATCAGAGAACATCTGCTTTTCCATTTCTTCTACGACAACCTCTGCCTTGCATTTAATCTGAAACAGAACGATTTTCCTAATAGGTGCAACAGTGTTTTACAAATTGAAAACCCTCCTTGCTAAAAATAAAGGATGCCAAATACAGACGTTTCAATTAGCACAACCATTTCTTATCAAGTTTGGCAGCAGGGGTGGGGGAGAGAGAGAAAGATAGAGGGAGAATCGCTCCAGCATTTGGCAAATCCAGAGATTGCTCCACATTCGTGAAATTTAATTATTGGCAAATTAGTAGTGCAGATGCCAACACACAATGGGTTCCAAGCTCCTGCTATTCAATTTGAGCTTTTCATTTAGGAAGATAATGAAAACACATACAAAAAGACAACTTCTCTAAAAGGAAAATGACCAAATATAAGGTTTAAGTTATGAGTATGTTACCACATGCACAATCACTCTTTCCCGGGTGTTCATTCTAACTTGTATGAGAACAGATGCACAGAAAGCGTTTGCTAGCTAGTTTTTTCCTTTGTGTTGGTAGGAATGCAATGGCTGTATTATCCTATTACAGTGAGGATTCACCTCAGAAATGACACAGAAGCTCCTCTTGTCCTGTGTAACCTGTACATTCAGGAAGGTTTAGTGCTATAGCAAGTACATGAGGTACTTGGAGTACTCCAAGAAGTACCAGGAGAAGTTGTCTTTATAAATACTGCATACACTAACAAAGAAAGCTGATTAATTTAAGCCAGATCATTGGTCCTTCTATCCCGTATTATCAACACTGATTGGCAGTAGTTTCCCCAGATTTCTCACACAAATCTTACCAACCCTTTCTGGAGATACCAGACATGGAATTTGGGACTAGAATCAAAAACTATGCAATTTCAGCAAATTTTAAGATGGAATTAAGGATGTGTGAATAAGCTAAACTTGAGCTCATCGAAGTCTCCAAATTCCCTCTTGAAACTTGTCCTGGTTCAAATCCCTATCCGATTATTAACTTTTTTTCTGCTTTGCATGAAAATCCATACATAGTTTCATGTGTATTTTTCTAAAAGTACACATCAATTTGCACATGTGTGCAATGTAGTAATTTCAAATGTACTCCATTCTTAAATGCACAAATCTTGCAAAATATGTTTTGCCGAATCTGCAAATTGCATTGTAAACTCAGAAACGTGCCGGCTTTGCTGATTGTGCTCAAGTTTGTGTATGGCTGAGGAGTAGCAAATCGAGCAAATTATGGTCATAAACTGAAACAAATTTCTCATGCCACCCTAAGCAGAACTTTGTTCACATCCCTGGATTTGTTCACTTTCAGGAAAAATAGTTATATTCCTGTGCTTACAATTCCATTTTCCAAAAGGCATTCATCAAAGAAACGTGCATTTTAGGGAAGGGGGAATGATGCATTTTCATTCTTTAGTAGGTAGACATTTGGCTGCACTTTTAAAAATGTGCACCAAAATAAAACGGTACTTCTGATCAAAGTAGCCAAAGGATAAAGCATGCCAGACTTCAAGGAGGAACTCCGAGGCCTCATTGAGTTCCAGATTTACTCATCCTTCCATCTCTGCCAGAGACTTTTTGTATAAAAGACCTTAAATGTGCGCTCTGTCTCTTAGGTATGGCCCTTCCTCAGGCACGCATTGGAATAACTGCGAGTTTGGCAACAGTTATCCTGACTGGGTGACAGAAAGTAGGGAGGGCTTTGTTTTTGCAGAAGGGATTGTGTCAGTCTGCATTCTTCTTTTTTACTAGCACGTGCATATAGTAGGTTAAATATCCAGTGGCTATTTGAAGGTGAAACATTTTCCGATTTAAGCACACAGGCCTACAATTCATAAATATGGCCTTCCAAATTAATCCACACCACCACTAAAAAACAAATTCTGCATCCAACAGCATCGACTAGTTTTGAAAGGCAATGGTGTTTAGCACATTTACTCTGATAGTTTTGTTTGCTTGCTTTCTTTTTATTTCCAACTCATTTCAGTTTCATTTGGGGACAGAAAAAAGCATTAGCCCTCTACTGGTGAAATGGCCCCAATCCAGATCACATGAAGAGATGGTTGCTACTAACTTTCTTCTTTTAGTCAGTTCAAGGGATGCAATCATAGTTTTCCCAATTTCATGCTTTCCTTGGCTCTTAAAAATAGAAGTGAGGTAAAATGAACAAACAAAACACGGGGGGGGGGAGGAGCCCTTTAAGATATTTAACCCAGGCAGCAAAAATATCCCTAGAAATAGCATTTGTTTCTTTTCTTTCTTTTCTCCTCAGACATTTCCTTATCTCCACCCCACCTCCACAAGTCAGAGAGAGCATTGTATGTTTGTAATCCTTTGCATTTAATTTCGGAGACAAGACACAAACCATCCTTCGGAGAAAAGGAGTACAAATCCACTTTGCACATCCCACATTGCTGTGAATATTACAATTATGCTCCAGTGTTAATCCTAGTGCAGCAATTTCCCTGTTATGATTGTCTGCATGAAAATACAGAAGACAGCATGCATTTTCTTTTTCAATGGAACATGACATACCCTTCGAGGAATTGATGAGACCAAATACCCGGCAGAAACATTCGTATCTTTCAAAGGAAACAAACAAGTGAGCCAGCGGCTTTTGACAGCCATCCACTTGATGTGGGAGAATTTGCTGAGTGAAACCAGATTTTGTTTTATGATTGGCCAATCCTGTCTGGGTGATTTCATTTGCAATTACCTCTAGTGCCGTCGAATCCCGGTAAGAAAATTGCAGAGCTGGGACCCCAAGATGGTTGATGAAATAATCCGCATCTCCTTGCATTTGTACAGAAGTGACATTGGAATTCATGCATGTTTCTTGCCCAAGACAGCTGAAGTTGTGTTTCTGAAACAAACAGCATTAGATACAAGATTAGCTTCAGGGGAGGCATGTACAGATATTAAGTTGATCAAGTAAAGCAAATGTACAGTAAATATTCTCCCCCCAGCAACATCAATAAGAGGCATGGGTTAAATAGGAGACTTGGGGTCAAACTGGTTAACTTGCAGTTGAGTTTGGACAGGCAGAGCAAGAGTTGGAGACCACTAATGGTTATGGTAAGTAGTGCAAGAACCCCTATTCTTTCCCCCATGGATGCTGCTTCTCCCTTGTACTTCTTCTTCACAGCATCTTAACCCAGACATGGTGCTCCAACATAAACAGACTCGAAGTGATTGTAGCAACCTAATGGGAGAAGCCACAGGTGAAGCAAGGAGTCTTTATCCCTCCCGCATTGACTGTTTCTGGTCTCCACCTTTTTCCTGTCATTTCTTCATGATCACTATTTTGCTAGTTTGGTTTAATATCTGAGTTGTACAAGCTTGGGGCTGCTCCTGGAAAGAGCTGGTGAAAACCTAAAGCTTGTGCAAAGTACATATTGTGCTCCAGGTAGTGCGTCTAGAATGTACATTAGGGTGCCACTGTTAGAAATATTGATGCCTGGCTTGCAAATGAAGTAGACTACAGGAATGCAGAGTTATGAGGATCCACTTAAGTGTGAGGGAAGCTTGGCGACAAGGATTGCCTCCGCACTTCTTCCACAAAGGTTCTCTTTGTTTTTTATTTCTGTTCATGAGAAGGAAAGACTGAGGATTTCTTGCATCCTGGCACAGCCTCTGTGCCTTTTTTCCCAATACCCCTGACAGATCTGCATCAACTACACATTTCCAAGTCTGTGCAGGGAATCTGACCAATCCTGCATTTAGTGGCCATAGGATTGCAACCTTAATTTAATGATTCTTTGGGGTTTTGTTTCATGATTGCTTATCAAGTGCTTATCTATCATCTCAGTCCATTTGCTCTTGTTGGAGAGAATGCTGGAAGCTGGAAACAAATGACAGAGCTCAGATCTGTAACCTTGTTGATTTATCTATTTATTTATAACCATACTCAGGGTGGTTGTGAGGATATGGTAGAGAGGAAGAGGAGAATTACATGAGATAACTTGAGTTTCTTCAAAGAAAAAAGGTGAAATAAAAAGGTGGGGAAAAGATAGGAGGGAGAAGGACCTTCTCTGTGGTAGCACACCACTATAGAATTTACTTCCAAAAGAAACCTGACAATCGTTTTTACTCTTTTTCTTTCAGACACCAGTTGAAGACATTTCAAATTTGCAATCATTCTGGTGAGTGAGCTGGTTTTTGTAATGGTTTATTGTTGCTGCTTCTGGGCTGTGAGTTTATTTGCCAGGCATTATTTGTTTATTTAAAATTATTGTTTTAAATGGTTTGATTGACTGTTCTTCTATTTTTACCAGTTTTATACCCTTACTGGTCTACTATTTTGTTGTTTAAATTGACCTATTTCATTGGTGTTTTACTGTTGTCATTGTAAGCCACCCAGAGAGCCTTTGGCATGTGGGTGCAATATATTGAATATATGAATGAACAAATGAACGGACAAACGAAAGCAGCACTTGGAATTGTGACAGAGACAGACTGATAGCTGAGAAATACCAAGGAAGTTATATACCCCTTGCAGCTAGTGCTGGTCACAGTGTTCAGAAGTCAGGCCAGGGCATCCCTTGTTTATGACCCACCAGGCCAAACAATTTTGTGACACACCTGATGGGTATTGACCTTCCCTGATTTGTGAATCAGCATAATTAGAGCTTGCTGGATTCCCATGATCTTCCTCCCAAAACCTGCTACAGGATTGTGAACTTTAGGGAATATTGCAAAAGGAACAACAACAGTTGTGTGTGTTTTGTATACTTTCCCTCAAATTTTACAAATGTATGCCACAGCTGTACATGTTGAATTTGATACCTATTCTCCCATTGCTATGAGTGTGCTTGCGCACATTTTTCAAAGAATGTACATATTTGAAGGTATATTCGTGTGCTTTTTTTCAAATGTAAGCATTTTCTAGTGCTTCTTCATTGCACAAATCACACTGCAAAATCAGAAATGCATGGACCAGACTGTAGATTGCATCTGAGTTCACAATCAGTTCAGAGGAGGGAATGGAGCAAATTCTGGGGGGGGGGGGGGGGGGATGAGCTAAACCTCTCTTCTTACCCATTTCTAATTCCTCTTTTTTTCTCCTGCAGAGCAGGTAGGTTCACTGGGCCAGTACTTGACTGGGCACGTCTGTCTGGCTTGGTGAGTCATCAGAATCTATCAGAACTGACATTAAGGCATGCAGACAAATGGGGTAAGGTTTTTTAATGCTGATTGCCTAAATACATTGCGTCCTTTTCACTGAAGTCCTTCTTTTCTGGTTCTAATATGTTCTTGAGCTTTTTTGCAACACTTCAGGAACTTATTTAATAGCTTCACAATGTGTGCCACTTCAGAAATATGGATTAAAAACTCCAACAAACACTCATTCCTCTTTTACAAACATGCAGATCTTGTACTTGGAGGGCAGAGCAATAATTAAGTACAATTTCACTTAAGCAGCCACTGAAACAGTAGAATTAGGCTTTCTGGTTTTTTAGAAATGTTGCAGTCTTTCATGAAATATGGTGGTACATGATGAAGGATATGATTTCTTAAGTGCACCTGGGAAGCCAGGGACAGATTTAACCTTCCAGACATGAACCCAGCTTGTAGGTGGGTCTGCTGCCCTGCCATTCCCTTGTATTTTAGAACATGGAATTGCTTTTCTTAAGTTGCAACGTCATGCCTGACTCTTCATGACCCCATGGACAACATTTCTCCAGGTTTCCCTGTCCTTCACCATCCCCTGGAGTACACCCAACCCCACACCCACCTCTCCAGTGACCCCATCCAGCCACCTTAACCTCTGCCATCCCCTTCTCCTATTGCTGTCAATCGTTCCCAGCATCAGGCTCTTCTCCAGTGAATCCTTCCTTCTCATTAGGTGGTCAAAGTATTTGAGCTTCAGCTTTAGTGCCTGACCTCCTAAAGAGCAGTCAGGGTGGAATTATCCCTCAATCCTCCATTATCCCAGAACATGAAATTAACCCTTAGAAATCCATCTCTCCGCTTATGAATTCATGGAACAAGTAGTTGCAACAACAGCACTTCCTACCCTGATTTTCCCCTTTCAAACCCCTCTTAGAAAATGAGGATGGGATAGTGAAATGGCAAAAATCCATTTTTCTGCTTCCTTGCTGCTGAAGTGTGCATGCGTAGGCACTGGAGGTGACAGGGCAACAGCAGTGACAAAGGAAGAGAAAATCTGGGATGCTCAGCAGATGTCACGGGGTGATGGTGGACTCCAAACAGGGATGACAGGAGTCGGCAAGAGCACGAAGGAGTCTGGCTGGCACCCTTAGAGGTCCTGGCAGGTTGCAACATGCCTGTAGGAACATATTGGAAACCCCTGATTTACCCCGATCTATTTCTCACATGTCTCCCTTAAAGTGGGGGAGGAGAAGCACATGGCCTTAAAATGTAGAAGTTGTTTTCTGTTTTTGCTCTTTGCAATTTGTGCTGCAAGATACTGCAAAGAACACTCAATGGGCCCATTTCTGGGTATGCATGTACAGGATTGCATGGCACAGTTTTAACATATCCGCTAGCAGAGTTTTGAACTTGCTGCAGGACATTTATTGGAGTCTCTTTGCCTCACCCAGAGTGATCCAGCAAGTGGGAAGTGTGATTCTGTAAGGAACGGTAAACCAAAGAGATTATAGCAGGCAGAAGGCATGTGTGAATTGGCAGACTCAGGCATGGCAAAGTTCTCTGAATTCCAACCCAAGCATGTATCAGATTGTGAGCTTTGCTTTTCTCTGTTCATTTATTTCATTTCTGTACTGCCCCACAGGCAAAGCTCTCTGTATGAAAATCCATGCATATTCTTGTATGCGTGTGTGTACTTTTATATTTCCAAATGTACACATCCTTTGCAGGCATCTGTGAAATGCATTCTTCTCCCACTGATTTAAGCATAGATCTGTGCACTTTTCCTCACTATGCATTTCTAATGGGCATTTTTCAAATGTAGACATGTTATCATGCCTTCCCTCCCCTGGTCTGTGAATTTCACTTCAAACTCCAAAATGTATGCATTTTAATTGCAGGTTGTGTCTCAGTCCATGTTTGGACTGGAAAGTGCAAACTCATTAAATCCTGATCAAAACCAAATGTCTTGTGCATCCTAGCAGAGAGAAGCACCCAAGGAGATGAGAACAAGGTTTAAATCTTGGTATAAGCGACTCAGCTATATGTGCATAGAAATAGGTAGCATGAAAATTCAACAAGCACTATGAAACTTCAGTGGCAAAATGTTTGGTTGGTAACGTTAATTAATTTCCCATAGCATTTAGCTCCTTTTCAAGCTATTTTCTCCAGCTTTTGCTCCTCAATCTGCTGATTACTGTAATGCTGTCAGATTCTATCAGGCAAACCGTATGGCATTTCTGTTTGCTACACTGAACACACCACCTTTTCAAGGATACACAGAAGGAACAGTAATGCTAGGGGAGTTCATTTCAATTAGATATTGCCACTTGCAATTCCCATCTTGTCAGCAATCTGGTCAGCTTCAAATGCAGGCTCAGATCCGGTGCTTGTTTTTCAGTAACAGACCACCTGAATGCATCATGGGACAGTGATACAAGAGCTCAATGAGGTTGCATATTTCCACAGGGATCCTGATGGGCAACTACGTCCAGTTGATTAATCTGTGAGAGGCCAATTTTAATAAATGTGGGCCAGCTTTAGTCAGGCAGGCTGTGAGGTAGAGTTGATTAGTTTCAATGGAAATTTTGCTCGCGACGTGTGCTTACATCAGTGAATAAAATACCAAATATTAAAGCTATCCTTTTTTCCTAGTGGTGAAGGAGAGTTTTATTTTGCAAATATAGAACTGTTGAGGTCTTCAGACTCAGCAGTCATTTAATATAACGTGCAGAAACACAGAGCAGAACCCTG